CAATTCAAACCATTCTATTACTCCATAAATTAAGAGGAGAAAAAAAAAGCACCCCAAAAAATTTAACTAAATTAAATTTTGGCTTCTTTGTGTATCTTCCACTAAAGCCCACAGAGAATATCCCCCTTAATACTCACACAAGCAGAAGAGTAGCTTGGATTCCTTTTGCTTGAAAAATATGGATTCAGTTGTAATGGGAATGGTAGGCATCAAGAGTTTTTATTTTCCTTTTAAGTTGTTTTTCTAGAACTATTTTAYTGTGCAGGTTGGACAGGGTTCAAAATTAATGCCAGCTGATAGTCCTCAACCACTGTCACTTTCTCTTATCTACAGATCTGATACCATTAAGTAAACACAGGGCTATAATCAAAAGGAAGAGAATAATATTTATCACTACTGTACTGTTGCTGTTTAAAATATTTTTGCCTTCATAGGCATTCAGTGAGCAAAAAGTCACTGTCTATTGTGATCTATCTCAGAATGGAAGTGTGTCTATGTTGATTGATCATCTTTCCCCAATCACTACTTTCTGTCCTTGCCTCTAACATAAGAACATCAAACGAGTGTTAAAACATTGTCCAAGGAATCTGAAACTCGGTAAATACTCATCTGATTTTTGTAAGAATACAGTCTATCAAACCTTATGCAGGTATACATGCATGTATTTTCCAGCATAAAATAAAGGCATGAAAAAAACAAAAACCAGGTTAATAAACAAAATTGAGAACCAGGATACAACATCCACTGGAAAACTGGAGGAAGTCAGATCAAAGCTGAAGGTGCCATTAATGATGACTGTAATTTAACTCACTGGTCATCAAAAGTTCTGTGTTACCCTCTGCACTGTTTCTCAGGAATACAAAGCCCTGATCCACTTCAACACAGACAGAAGAGTTTCAGYGCTTTTTCGGATTCGGCTCATAGTTTAAAGTTTTATTGGTGGGAATATCCACAGATTTACAAGGCAACAGCATTAAGAAGTGATTCATAAACMGGCACTAACATGTTTCTTTCAATGTAAAACTAGTTTAATCACATTTCACATGGAATTACRGTAACGCCCTAGTTCAATCTCTCCTTAGAAAATGGCTTAGTACAGGAAATACTGGTTCATTTCTGTTGATTAGCAGTCACAGCAAAAGTATAGTAAAACTATGATTATTTCCACTCCGCACTGCTTTGCTGTTTCTCTTCTAAATGTTTTAAATAAACAACTATCATTTAGAGCTGAAAAGGTTCTGAGAATAATTATTACAATTTCTGCTACAGATTGTTYGTTGAACTACAAATTCAAGGTTCATACTCAAGACTCAAGTGGTAATTAACAGAACATTAGATCATAAAGCAAAGCATAGTTCTCATCACAATTAGAACCYGAGGAGTAAAGTATATATAGAGGTCCACAATGATATGTAGTGTACAATCATTGCAATCCCAACATGACTGCTTATCTGCAGATACCAGCATGTATAGTTATGTAATTGAGAAAGAAAATTGCTGAAACTTTCAGAGGATTGACTTCACCACACATTGCATGACACCATTAATAGAGTTCTCACATCCTATTTCTCTTCTATTGAAAATTGCTTATAGGWAATTTTATACCAAATCATCTTGTTACTTTAAGCCAAATCATGTATGAGCTGTCAGAACTAGTCAAATACTATGCATTCTTATAGTCTACATGTCTTACTCYTTACATCCCAACACACTGGTAACACTAGGATACAGTGAGCAACATCTGTATCGCAGAATCACAGAATCACTAGGTTRGAAGAGACCTTCAAGATCATCAAGTCCAACCTATGCCCTAATACCTCAATTAAACAACAGCACCAAGCACCACATCCAGTCTTTTTTAAACACATCCASGCAYGGTGACTCCACCACCTGCCTGGGCACACCATTCCAGTGTTTTATCACTCTTTCTGTAAAAAACTTTTTCCTAATATCTAAACTATATTTCCTTTGGCATAGCTTAAGACTGTGTCCTCTTGTTCTGCCACTTGCTGCCTGGAGAAAACAACCACCCCCCACCTGTCTACAATCACCTTTCAGGAAGTTGTAGAGAGCRATAAGGTCACCTCTGAGTCTCCTTTTCTTCAGGCTAAACAACCCTAGCTCCCTCAGTCGTTTTCATAGGGCTTGTGATCCAAGCCCTTCACCAGCCTTGTTGTGCTCAAGCATCTCAACGTSTTTCCTAAAATGAAGGAMCCTGAACTGGACACAATACTCAAYGWGTAGCCTAACCAGTGCCAAGTACAGGGGAAGAAAAACCTCCCTAGTCCTGCTGGCCATACTATTCCTGATACAGGCCAGGATGCTGTTGGCCTTTTTGGCCACCAAGACACACTGCTGGCTCATATTCAGTTGACTGCTGACCAGTAACCCCAGGTCCCTTTCTGCCTGAYCACTGTCCACAGCCACACTGCACCAGCCTATAGCGTTGCAGGGGGTTACTGTGGTGAAAATGCAAGACCTGGCATTAAAGCTCATCTTATTGCACTCTGCCCAACCATCCAACTGTTCCAGGTCTCTCTGCAGAGCCCTCCTATCTTCCARCAAACTGATATATGCTCCCAGCTTAGTGTCRTCTGCAAATTACTACACATGGATGAGGTCAGTACCCTCATCCATGCCATCRACAAAAATATTGAACAGAACTGGCCCCAGCACAGACCCCTGAGGTACACCACTGGTGACCAGATGTCAGCTGGATGTAGCACCGTTCACCATCACTCTCTGGGCCCGACCATCCAGCCAGTACTTAACCCAGCAAAGAGTGCTCCTGTCCAAGCTGTGGGCAGCCAGCTTTTCTAGGAGCATACTGTGAGAAATAGTGTCAAAGGCCTTGCTGAAGTCCAAATAGACAACATCCACAGCCTTTCCTGCATCCACCAGGTGGGTCACTKRTCATAAAAGGAGACCAGGTTGGTAAAACATGACCTACCCCTCCTAAACCCGTGCTGGCTGGGTCTGATACCCAGGCCATCCTGCAAGTGCTGCGTGATGACACTCAATATAAACTGTTCCATTACCTTACGGAGTATCGAGRTCAGGCTGACTGGCCTRTAGTTACCGGATCCTTTCCAGCCCTTCTTGTGAACGGCCAGCTTCCAGTCATCAGGAGCCTTATCAGTGAGCCAGGACTGTTGGTAAATAATGGAAAGCAGCTTTGCAACCTCATCTGCCAGCTCCCTCATCACCCTGGGATGGATYCCATCTGGTCTCATGGATTTATGAATATCCAAGAGGCTCAGCAGTTCCCTGACTGCCTTGTCCTGGATAACATTTTGTTCCCTGACACCATCTACCAATCCAAGAGGACAATTGTCCTCAGGACAAGCCATCTTCCCACTACAGACAGAGGCAAAGAAGGCATTAAGCACTTCTACCTTCTGATCYGCAGTTACGAAGTTCCCTCCCACATCCAGCAGAGAACAAAGGACAGTCTTACCCTTCCTTTTGCCGTTAACATATTTTTAAAACAATTTTTTTTGTTATCCTTTACAAAAGTTGCCAAATTAAGGCTGAGCTTTGGCCTAATTTTTTTCTTACATGCCCTAGMAACTCCCTTAAATACTTCCTGAGAGACCYGACTCTCCTTCCAAAGATGATATATCCYYTTTTTATTCCTAAGTACCTTCAAAACCGGGATGCCCATTCAGGCTGGATGTTTGCCTCGTCAACTCATCTTTCAGCACACAGGGACAGTCAGTTCCTGTGCCCTCAAGAACTCTTTTTTGAAGCACACCCACCTTTCCTGGACTCCTTTGTTTTTAAGGGCTGCCTCCCAAGGAAATCTCTGAATAAGTCTCCTGAATGAGCCAAAGCCTGTCCTCCAGAAGTCCAGTGTAAGAATCTTATTGATGCTCCTCCTCATTTCACCAAATATAGAGAATTCTGTTATTTCATGATCACTATATCCCAAGCAGTGTCCAACTACCATATTTACCACCAGACCACCTGTCTCTATTTACAAAAAACCAGATCAAACATAGTCCCTCCCCTCRTGGGCTCACTCACCAGCTCCACACACTCCAAGAACTTCCTAGACTGCCTCTTTTCTGCTYTATTAAGTTTCCAGCAGATGTCTGTATGACTAGGTCTTCATTTAACAAGGGCTTTCAAGTCAACATTAACCTTCCTGCGCCACAGCCACCGCTTTTAATAATGATTACGAGGCCCACATGAACACTGGAAGACGTGCAACCACACCTGGCACTTAAACCTCACATTGTTGGGCAGGGAATGGCCTGGGCTGTTGTATTCCGCAGTAGCACAAGACTCTCTGTCTAGCTGTGCCCAGCTCTAGGGCCCCCAACTCAAATATGGCCTTGATCTGATGTAACAAGTCCAGCGGAGCGCCACTAGGTTAATCCCAGGGTTGGAGCACCTCTCCTATAAAGACAGGCTGAGAGAGTTGGGGCTGTTCAGCCTGGAGGACAGAAATCACCAAGGAGACCTTACAGCATCCTGCAAAGGGGTCTTACAAGAAGGCTGGAGGTGCTTCTCACAAGCGCATGTAGTGGCAGGACAAGCAGAAATGGCCTTACGCTGAAAGAGAGCAGGTATAGCCCAGCCCAAAGCAAAGAAACCCTTTACCGTTCAATTGGAACAGATTGCCTGGAAAAATTGTTGCTGCCCTATCCCACTGCTGGAAGCATTCAAGAACAGGTTGGACCAGCCCGTCTGGCGAAGGAGTGCCATGGTCTGATGGCGCCTGAAGCCCACCGCGGCCCAACCCCGCCGCGGCTCCGTGCCCGCCCCCTGCCGGCCGCCCGCGCTCACTGCAGGGACCCGCTCTGGGCCCGCCCCCGGCCCCGCCCCCCGGCGCAGGCCCCGCCCCCAATTTGCATAGACCGTGAGCCCTCCCTCGGCGCGCGGCGGCTGCG